ATGTTTAGAACATGTATTACACATTTTAACCACATGTTTACTTCAATGATAGGATTGTTAGAGTGTCCATTGTCATGGCATCCACACATCTTTTCCGACCCCATCCAGGAGGCCTCAAAATCGGAGGGCACCAGCTACACACCCGCACCGATCCTGGCCATGCCGATCCTGGGCCCGAGGTGGGTGCGTATAGTTATGCCCTTTCGCCCCAGCCAGGGGGGCCTCCTCCTCCTCCTCCTCCTCCTCCTCCTCCTCCTCCTCCTCCTCCTCCCCCTCCTCTTTCATATGTTCCAGACCAGAGTCCTCCCTCCTCCTCCTCCTCCTCCTCCTCCCTCCCCCCTCCTCCTTCATCCTTCTCCTCCTCCTCCTCCTCCTCCTCCTCCTCCTCCTCCTCCTCCTCCTCCTCCTAGGTGCCGCCCCCCGCGGGCCTTAGATGGCACTTGCTCCTTGCTCCTCCTCCTCCCTCCCCCCTCCCCCCCCTCCCCCCTCCTCCCTCCTCCCTCCTCCCACTTTCCCCCTTCCTCCTCAGATCCTGGGCTCAGGATGGGCCTGGCCAGGGCCGGCCAGCGTGCAGCCCACGCGCACTCGACGGCGGCAGTCCGTGCGCGAAGGCCGCTCGCGAGGCCCTCCTCCTCCTCCTCCTCCTCCTCCTCCTCCTCCTCCTCCTACCTCCTCCTCGTCTTCCTCCTTCTCCTCTTCCCCACTCTCCTCCTCCCCCTCCATCCTCCTTCCTCCTCTCCCCTCCTCCCCTCCTCTCCTCCTCCTCCTCCTCCTCCTCCTCCTCCTCCTCCTCCTCCTCCCCCTCCCCCTCCCCCTCCTCCCGTCTTGGCCGCCGATCCCCCCGGGGGGTTCTGAGCGCCCTCGACGTTGGCCCCCCGCTCCTCCGCGAGAGAGCCGCCGCGGCCCTGGCGAACCTGGTGCTGGGCGAGAAGCGGACGGCCGAGGAGCTGATGCGGCGGGGCGTCGGGGCCCCGCTGATGGAGCTGCTGGGCGCCGGCGCCGCCGCGGGGGCGCAGGCGCCCCGAGAGCCGGGCGCCGCGGCCTCGTCTCACGGGCCGCTTCGCTCGGCTTCGGGCCCCGGGAGCATCACACATCGGTGCGGCTCGCATCGGGGCGCCGGTGGTGTTTCTGCTCGGCCGCACGTCTGCTTTCTCGGACGAGTGCAGTCGGGGCGCTGAGGAGGGAACCCTTGTCGTTGGGGAGGGGCTCCGTGCTCCTCGGTTGTTTTGCAGTGCTCCTTGGGTCTTCCCGAGGTTTTCCATGGAGCATCGGAGTTTGACCTATGAGGCAAAGGGGCCCCGTGCCTTGTTCAGGGTTCCTTGGGTCAACGCCCCAACTTCGCAGGCCTAGAGGTTGACACCAACACCAATTTCGGCGGTGTGCCTCCACCGAGGGAAGAGGATCCCGATCTCGGTGATGGTGATAATATTCTGGCTGCCAGGTCGGCCGAGATATTGCCACCAACACCGAAATCTAGGATGATTGGCCCTGTGGAGGCAACCCTCTGTGTTGGTGCTGGTGCTCATTTCCCGGCCTCCAACAACTGTAGAGTTTTCCTGAGGTTTTCCATGGAGCATCGGAGTTTGACTTATGGGGCCAAGGGGCCTCGTTCCTTGTTTAGGGTTCCTTGGGTCCACCCCCCAACTGTAGGTGTAGGGCATTTTTGGGGTATTTTGGATTTTTCGTTGAAGATCCCCCCTGTAGGGGGGTCCACGCTCCAACTGTAGGCTCTCGGGGGGGGGGGGGGGGGGGGGGGGGGGGGGCGCGGGGGGCGCGGCAGGGCGAGCCGCTGGCGGACGCCGGGGACGGGCCGGCAGGAGCCAGCGAGCCGCTGCCGCACCAGCTCGGCGGCGCGCCGAGGGCGCTGCAGCGAGAGGGAGCGGGTCTGCCCTTATGTCGGGCCTGTCCCCCTTACAGGGGGATTTTCGACGAAAAATGCAAAATACCCCCTCAATAGTAAAAAAATAGTTCAAGAATAGTCTGGGAGCTCTATATATATATATATATATATATATATATATCTAAAATAATGAAATAGTTTTTTTTTTTGGGGGGGTTGGGGGGGGGGGGGGTTGGGGGGGGGGGTTTTTGGGGGGGATAGTTTTTTTTTGGGGGGGGGGGATTGGGGGGGGGGGGGGGATTTTTTATGGGGGGGGGGGGGGGGGGCATTTTTGAAGTTTTTTTTATTTTTCGTCGAAAATCCCCCTGTAGGGGGACAGGCCCTGTAGGGAGCGGGTCTTCCTCGCAGGCCTAGAGGTTGACACCAACACCAAGATCGGCGGTGTGCCTCCACCGAGGGAAGAGGATCCCGCTCTCGGTGATGGTGGTAATGCTCTGGCTTCCAGGGTGGCCGAGATATTGCCACCAACACCGAAATCTAGGGTCATCTTCCCCCCGTGGAGGCACCCCCCAGTGTTGGTGTTGGTGCCCATTTCCACCAGGCCTCCTAGTCTTCCCTCGAGGAACCGCCGGCGTGGATCGAAGCGCGCGGATCAGCGACGGGTCCCCCTTCCGTTGCGAACTCGGCACGCTCCGCCGCCAGACGAGGCTGCACTGGCTGAAGTCGGGCCTGTCCCTCTGCAGGGGGAAGATTCAAAAATAGTCAAAAAGTAGTGGGGGGACGATTTTTGAGTATTTGTGGGCATCGTTTGGGTATTTTTTGACTATTGCCAAGGCCTCACGGCCAGTGTCGCCGACCCTGAGAACGACGAAGATGAAAACGAGGGGGGGCAGGGGGAGGAGGATGAGTGGGAGGTGGAGGAAGGGTGGGGGAGGTGATGAGGGAGGAGGAGAGGGAGAAGGATGTGGAAGAGAAGCAAGAGGAGGAGAAGGAGGCAGAGGAGAGCAGGAGGAAAGGGGGGTGGGAGGAGGAGGAGGAGGAGGAGGAGGAGGAGGAGGAGGAGGAGGAGGAGGAGGAGGAGGAGGCCAGAGGCTTTCTTGGGACAGCCTGGGGCTCTCTTGAGGCCGTCATGGGCCGTCCAGGGCTCTTCTTGCGCCGTCTCGAGGCACTCTTGGAGGCCTCCTGGGCAATTCGGGGCTCTCCTGGGCTGTCTTGGGGCAATATTGGGGGCCTCTCGGGCCGTCTTGGAGGCGTCTTGGGCCGTCTTTGGACCCTCTTCGGCCGTTAAGGGGCCCTCTTGGGGGGCGCCTCTTGGGCTGTCTCGGGGCGATCTTTGGGGCATCTTGGGCCGTCTTGGCGCGTCGGGAAGCGGAAAAGGCAAGACCGCCAACATTTGTTTAACACGTATGGGAAATCCATGAAGTTTGCCTCTTGGGGCGTTCGTGGGAAAGCTCCTGGAGGCCTCTTGGGGCGCTTTGCAGGCCTCTTGGGTCGTCTGGAGGCCGTCAAGGCGTCTTGGACAGATCGTTCGGCGATTCGGGGTTCTCTTGGACTGTCTTTGTGGCCTCTTGGGGCACTCTTGGCCCGTCTTGGTGCTTTTTTTGGCTCCAGGACCTCCCCGGGGGGGGCGCTGACCCCCACCACCCAATGACCCCCCCTCCCAGCGGGTAAGGGATCGAAGGGAAGGGCTTCCTTCGACTCAAATACCGACGAACCACAGTTTCGCTTTGTTTGGCGACGCTGAGGAGGTCCGTTTTGAAGGAAAAAAAATGAAGCATTTTTTGGTTATTCCCTACCCTAGGTTCTGCCTAGAAGTTCTACTCGTAAACTTACAAAGGCCGGGCAGTGCAATTCGTCCCGGGCGGTTCCCCCCATTATCCGCCCCGCGGGTTCCCCAGTTACGTCATCCTTAGCATAGCGTTTGCTTAACCCATCTTAGCTTAGCTTATTTCATCTTAGCTCAGCTTCAGCTTAGCTTAGCTTAGCTTCAATAGCTTAGCTTAGCTTTCCTAGATCCTCCAACTCCTAGGTAGGGTCACACTGGGATCATGTTTTATTTTTCGGCCAAAATCCCCCCGTAGGGGGACAGGCCCGACTTGAGCCTCCTGTTGCCGGGGGCACCTTCCCCGACCTGCGGGGGTACCCGGGTCGCCCGCGCGCCAGATCCGCAGAGCCCTCCTCCGTGCTGTGGCGCGCGCCCGCCCCCCTCACGAGGCGGCGGGGCTTCTCGGGAGCCCTCCGGCCTTCTCAGAGGCGGCGTCATCCCAACATACAGTATGTTTTGAGTAAATATATATATATATATATATATATATATATATATATTGACTTCTTTTGAGATTGTTTGGGTATTTTTTTATTTTGCATCGAAAAACCCCCTGTAAAGGGACAGGCCCGACTTAATGCTTGTGCCTAGTGGCGCCCTTGCACATGCGCAGCGTGTGTGTCCAGATGCGCCCTGCAGTGGGGGCGCGCATCAAGAAACCATACGCTTCTCGTCAGGGTGTCCCGGGTTTCTTCGCTCCGCGCTGCGCGGTGACTTCCCGCGGTTTGCCCTCAGGTGCACCTCGCGCGCGGGTTCCCAGGGTTGGGTTTCTTGCGAGGGTTTCTTGCGGCCGCGCCCGCACTGTACTTCTACTGTATGTGCGTCGTCCCCCTAGGGGCGGCGCGCGCACCGAGAAATCTTATAGTATATGCGTCGTGGCGGGCGCTCTCTGGCCACACCGCTCGGGAAACGATGTACTACAAGATGGGTGTACTATGTGTTTGGGTCGGATGCGCGCCTCCAAGGTGGACATACAGTACTAGTATGTCTCTGCGCGTCCCGTCACAAGGCGGCGGGGCTTCTCAGAAGCCCTCCGGCCGCATGAGCTGCCCCCGAGCCCCCTGTGAGCGGCGCAAAAAAAACAAGGGGTCGCCTGCGCCGACACTGGCGCGCAGGCTGCCCGCGCCAGGTCGCGCGCAGGAGCGCCCTCGCCCTCGATCCGCGCGTGAGGCCGCCACGTCCTCTCGCGCAAGGCCCGCTTTTGCGCTCGTCGCTCCGGAGGCTCTGGAGCAGGCCGGAGGCCCTCGGAGCCCTCCGCGGAGAGGCCCGCTCCCTCTGCCGGCTCCCCTCGGCGCCTTCCGCCGGCCGGCCGCCCCCGCCGCGGCCCACGGCGAGGGCGCAGGCGGTGGCGCTCCTCGCGCACCTGGCCGCCGTGGGGGACCCCCCCGCGGAGGAGCTCGTGGCGCTGGGCGCCGCCCCGGCGCTGGTGGCGCTGCTGCGCGACGAGGACGCGGCCGCCATCACCGAGCGCGTTGCACTACTCGCAGAGTGCCTGCTCGCAGACGTCGGAAAGACACGCACACGTCTGCTTCGGCGTAATTTATCGTAGATCCCCTGCGGCGGATCCAGGCCATCTGCGAGTAGCTACTATGCGATGCGAGTAGTGGAACGCGCTCGTCTACGCCATGAACAGGGTGCCTCCTCCTCCGCCTCCTCCTCCTCCTCCTCCTCCTCCTCTCGAGGAGCGGTGGACCTGGATATCTCCCCGCCCGCACGGGCGGGCGGATAGCCATATCCACTGCCCCGCAAGCTCCTGTGACAGGGCCCCGCGGCAGTCGCTGGGGGGATCGCAGTACACGTGACTGCATTGCCCGGGTCGCACCTGGCCTTGTCTCCACGCGAGGCGACTGTTTATATGCGCGCTCTCTACTAAAGAACACGTTACGACAGATGTGGCGCTTTGGAATGTGCTGCTAAGCAGTATCGGGCCACGCGCGTCGCGCACTTGCGCAGAAAGGGGCCGCGACGACAAGCACGACAAGAAGCATATCACGTGGGACGGAGGAGGAGGAGGATGAGGAGGAAAAGGGAGGAGGAGGACGGTGAGGAGGGGGGGACAAGGAGGATGGAACGCGAAGGGGAACAACCATTTACCCAGGGACGCACCCAACCTTTTGTACACATGAGGCGACTATACATCGGACCGCTCAATACAAAAGCGAACACTGAGGGATCCGCCGTGCCCTTGAACGGTTCGCCGAAGAACGTCGGGCCAGAGTCACATGTTCACATATGCGGCGTCGCTCTTACGAGTCAGATCGTTGGCAGGAAGGCGGCCACGAGAGAGGGTGGAAACACAATATCGAGAGACGATTGGAGACATAGTTCGTGGGAGCAGCGCCGCTGGACATCACACCGTCGCACCCCCCCCAGAAGACGGCGAGGTCCCATGGTGATTTGCGTAAGACGCACCTCCGCTGGGCCTCCCAGGAGCCCACGAACGTGGCGACAGTTTTGCAGATCGCAGTCCCCCAGGGGACGGCGAGGTCTCGTGGTGATCTGCGTACGACGCACCTCCGCTGGGCCTCCCAGGAGCCCACGAACGTGGCGACAGTTTTGCACATCGCAGCCCCCCAGGGGACGGCGAGGTCTCGTCATAAGACGTACCTCCGCTGGGGCTCCCAGGAGCCCTCGAGAGTGGCGACAGTTTTGCAGATCGCAGCGCCCCATGGGGACGGCGAGGTCTCGTGGTGATCTGCGTACGACGCACCTCCGCTGGGCCTCCCAGGAGCCCACGAACGCGGCGACGGTTTCGCAGATCGCCGCCCCCCATGGGGACGGCGAGGTCTCATGATGGTCTGCGTAAGACGCACCTCCGCTGGGCCTCCCAGGAGCCCACGAGCGTGGCGACAGTTTCGCAGATCGCAGCCCCCCATGGGGACGGCGAGGTCTCGTGATGGTCTGCGCAAGACGCACCTCCGCTCGCCGCGTGGAGCTTTCAATGCTCAGGTTTGTATGTCTGTTCTCGAAGGCTTCGGGCTGCGCGCAGACAGCGGGTTGCGCGCGGACAGCGCCCCCCAGGCAGTCTCGGCTGGCCTCAGCACGTGATCGTTGTTTATTCCTTGTTCTGCCGATCGGCGCGGGCCCCCAAACGCCCCTCCCCCCCGTCCTGGACCAGATCTTGGCTGTTTTTCGGGGCGCCTGGTTCGAGCGCGTGGAGTCTCCCCCAGGGGCAGCACTCTTGCAAACCGTCGCACGGAGCGGAGTTCTGGGGCCAGACCCCCCCCCCCTCTCCCTCCCCCCTTTTCCGCCCAGCGTCGCAACGCCGAAGTGAACAAAAACGCTCCCCCCCCCCGATCTTGGGGCGCAGAGCGTCCCATGGACCTGGCACCGCTCGGACGTGTGCATTTTTTTTTCTCGGCGAGGGCCCTGGAGGAGCATCCTGGATCATCGAGTAAACAAAAACACGCACGGAACCGAAAAATGCACAGGGAATGGACGTCCGAGCGATGGCAACCTGGGCGTCGCCAGAGGCGTCGCCAGGATGTCGGGACTGGCCCGGGCTGCTCGGGGGGCTTCTCAAGTCAGCTGGGACTGCCTGGGGAGGCGGTAGCAGCGCAGCCCGAAGCCCCACCACTGCTCCGTATCGTTCACAGTCGGCCCGGATTAGTAGGTCGACCTTACCAGCTCAAGGGTACCCTTGTGTCCTGTGGCTCGCGACACGCGCCTTCTTACACTCCTATGGCGATGTGGCCCTCGGAAGGGTTTTGTGTCCTCTCGCGTGTCCTGTCCAATCAAGGCCGACTGTACCCTCCTAGTTTGGGATACACCCCTCGAAACCCGAAGGGAGCGACTTATGTCCCCATCTAGGGGGGTAACTCGGCCAGTGGGGTCCAGGCCACGCCGCTGGGGATGGGGATCGGACAAACGATACCCAGTGTAAGCGCAGCCCGAAGTTTTACCGCTGCCAAGAGGGCCTACGACCCCCGAGATCCGTTCATAACGGGTTTGCGGACCCCTGCCAGAATCCGTTTTGGCCCTCTCAGCGGGCCGCGCCCAGCTGTGGCCACGACAGAAGCATCCAGAAACCTTCGAAGCCTCACCCTCGGACCCCGATCCACTGGAGGGAAAGAAGACGTGGGCCATGACCAGGACCGAACGCGGAAACTTCGGAACGGATCCATTGAGGACGGCGCCGTCGTGGACAGCGCCCTGGCCGCGGTGCCGAAGGTGTGCGCGGCCGCGTCGTTCCGCGCGGCGCTGCTCAGCTGCATGTGCGGGGCCGCGCTGGTCCAGCTCCTCGCGCACCAGAGTGCCGAGGTCGTGGACAAGGCCGTGGCGGCGTTGGCGAACCTGGCGCTCGACGGGGAGGCGGCGGTGGAGGTCCCGATGAGATCGAAGGAGGAGATGACACGCGGGCACAGCTGCTCCTCCTGGAGAGCCCAGGGCCACCACGAGAGGGCGCGAAGCCCGTCGCGCCTCACGGCCTGGGGGCGGCTGCAGAGCGAGGCGCGGGTCCGTCGTCTTGCCCTGGGGGGGGGGCGGAGGCGGAGGCGGAGGCGGAGGAGGAGGAGGCGGAGGAGGAGGAGGAGGAGGAGGAGGAGGAGGAGGAGGAGGAGGAGGAGGAGGAGGAGAGGAGGCGGAGAGAGGGGCGGAGGCGGAGGAGGAGGAGGAGGAGGAGGAAGGAGGAGGAGGAGGAGAGGAGGAGGAGGAGGAGGAGGAGGAGGAGGAGGAGGAGGAGGGGGGGGGGCGTCGGCGCGGAAACGCGAGGATCACCACCGCGGAGCTCGCGGAGCTCGCGGAGCCCCGAGGTGCGCAGAGAGAGTTGCCCCCCCGGGGACGCGGCGGCTCGTCCTGGGGAGCCCTCGTCGCTACTGGGCGCGACCGGGGGGGGGGGGAAGGGCGGTCACCACCCACCAAACCACCCCAACCCAACCCGAAGGCCCAAATTTATCATCGATTTCCAGTGGGGGGGGGTCGGGGAACGTTGAACAAACACATGGTATCCGTACCCCCCCGAACCCGAAATTCGGGTCAAATTCGGGTCTTCGGGTTGGGTTGGGGTGGTCTGGTAGGTAGTCAGGCGGGGGGAGGGAACCGGTCGCGCCACGGCACGCGCAGGGCGCCGCCTGGGAGCGCTCAGGGGTGGCTCGTTCCCAGGCGGCGCCCGCGCGGATCGCAACATGACCCCGGGGGGGGAGGGGAAGGGAGGCGGCGCCAGTCACGACGGCTCTCGCGAAGGATCAGAACACGGGAGTGCTCAGGAATGGCTCGTTCCCAGGCGGCGCCCGCGCGAAGCGCAACATGACCCGGGGGGGGAGGGGAAGGGAGGCGGCGCCAGTCACGACGGCTCTCGCGAAGGATCAGAACACGGGAGTGCTCAGGAATGGCTCGTTCCCAGGCGGCGCCCGCGCGAAGCGCAACATGACCCTGGGGGGGGAAGGGAAGAGGGGCGGCGCCAGTCACGACAGTTATCGCGAAGGGTCAGAACACGGGATCAATGTGCCGATAGCGCTGCTCGTTCTGCTCGAAGTTCTGGTCGGAACGCATCCTGGGAGAGGTCCAGGGGGCAGGGTATCGGTACCCTTTCTAGTCATCCCAGAGGTCTTGATGAAGCAGGGCGCCGGCAAGCATCTTCGTGGGCTGCTAAAGGTGTCCCTGGCCCTAGGTGAGCGATAGGAGAAAACAGGGCCGACTTCGCGAGCAATTACGCGTAAGCTTCTCGCGTTAAGGTCGCGCGTAAGCGCCCTCGTTCCAATGTAGCCCGCCGCGCTGGCGGCCCGCGCAAGCCACCGCGTAAGGTCGCTATGCCTTCTCGCGTGGGACCCGTTTCTTTTGGTCACTCAGGTGCCCCCGGCTCTGCGCTCCACTTTGTACACCTGGGGCCCTCGTGGGCCTCGTGGGGGGTGCTCTGGAGGCCGTGGGGCTTTCCCTTGGAAATCCTGGGGGCACCTTCCCTGAGGTCTGAGGTTGCGACACAAGTGGAAAGATCGCGAAACAGTTTTTGCCGGTGCCCTAATTTAGACGCCTTCCTGCTGCGCTGCCCGAGCTGGCTCGACCCGTGCTGACCTCAGGGGCCCGGAGCCGGGCGATGGCGCCCGTCACCACCTACCAGACCACCCCAACCCAACCCGAAGGCCTCAACTTGCCCTCCATTTCCAGTGTGGGGGGGTCGGGGAACGTTGAAAACACACACGGAACCCGTACCCCCCCCCCAACCCGAAATTCGGGTCAAATGCGGGCCGTCGGGTCGGGTTGGGGTGGTCTGGTAGGTAGTCAGCCCGCTCTCTGAGCAGATTGCGACGCCAGAACCTCAGGGCTGGGCCAGGCGGCCTTCTGGCAGCGCACGGCATCTGTCCAAGCTGCTCCACGAGGGCAGCGTCGGCTCCCAGCAGACGGCCGCGCTGGCGCTCCGGCTCTTCCAGGGGGGCGGGCCCGCGGTGGAGTTCGTGGTGCCCTCCCGGGCGGCCGCCCTCGCGCCGATGGAGATGCACTCGAAGCAGCACGACGAGAACGAGATCGTCAGGCGGCACCTGTTGGTGCTCGGCGGCGAGCGAGGGGGGGAAGCGAGGAGGGGAAGGCCTTCTCAAAAGGCGGGGGGGGGGACTTCTCAGAAGGCCTCGCGCCTTCCGAGTTTTTTTTTTTTTTTTTTTTTTTGTTTTTTTTTGTTTCTGTCTTCGGGGAATGCTCAGGACACTTCTCAGAAGGTCGGGGGACTTCCGAGACTTCTGGGAAGGCCCGCCCCTTCTCACATCCCCCCCCCGCTCGCCGCCGAGATGCAGTGCCGCCAAGTCGGGAACTCGGAGGAGGAGAAAGGTACCAGTGCCGCTGCCCCTGCCTCGTTTCCCCCTCGTCCTGGCCTCCTCGGGAGGCCCGCGTCGCCGCGGCTGGCCTCGCCTCGAGTGGCCCTTCTTTCCGAAAGTGCGCCAGTGGATCTCCTTGAATACACTAAGGGGGGGGGGTCCAGAACCCCCTCCCCCCCTCCCTCCCTTGAAGGGGGGGGGGTCCGGAACCCCTCCCCCCCTTCCCCCCCTGAAGGGGGGAAGGGTCCCGAACCCCTCTCCCTTCCCTCCCCTGAAGGGGAAGGGGGGGGGGGGGGGTCCGGAACCCCTCCCCCCCTTGGCGCTGGAAAGGGGGGGGGGGTCGGACTCCCCCCTCCTCGTGTAGGGAGTACGGAGTTGGGAGAAGGGAGTGGTGAGTAGTGAGTAGTGAGTTACTGCGTAGTGAGTAGTGAATATTGGGTACTGGGTAGTGGGTAGTGAGTGGCGAGTAGGGAGTAGGGAGTGGGGAGTAGTGTGTAGAGAATAGTGAGTAGTGTGTACTGATAAGTGAGTAGTGAGTGGCGAGTAGTGAGTAGTGAGTAGGGAGTAGCGAGTAGCGAGTAGTGAGTACTGAGAAGAGAGTAGGGAGTAATGAGTAGTGGGTAGTGAGTAGTTTGTAGTGCGTAGTGGGTGGCGAGTAGTGATTAGTGAGTAGTGAGTAGTGGGTAGTGCGTAATGCGTAGTGAGTAGTGAGTAGTGAGTTGTGAGTAGTGAGTAGTGAGTAGTGAGTAGTGAGTAGTGAGTAGTGAGTAGTGAGTAGTGGTTAGTGAGTACTGAGTAGTACGTAGTGCGTAGTGAGTAGTGAGCAGTGAGTAGTAATGAATAGAGAGTAGTGGGTAGTGCCAGTGGGTAGTGAGTAGTGAGTAGCGAGTAGGGAGTAGCGAGTAGTGAGGAGCGAGTAGGGCGTAGTGAGTAGTGAGTAGTGAGTAGTGAGTAGAGAGTGGTCAGTAGTCAGTCGTGGGTAGTGATTAGTGAGTGACGAGTAGGGAGTCGCGAGTAGTGAGTAGTGAGTAGTGAGTAGTGAGTAGGGAGTAGTGAGTAGTAAGAAATGGGTAGCGAATAGTGGGCAGTGAGTAGCGATTGGGGAGTAGTGGGTAGTGGGTAGTGAGTAGTGACTAGTGACTAGTGACTAGTGACTAGTGAGTTGTGACTAGTGACTAGAGACTATGTGACTTGTGAGTAGCGAGTAGTAAGTAGTGAGTAGTGAATAATAGTGAGTGGCGGAGAGTGAGTAGTGAGTATGAAGTAGCGAGTATGGGAGTAGCGAGTAGTGAGTACTGAGTACTGTGTAGTCAGTATCGTGTAGGGAGTAGGGAGTAGCGAGTAGCGAGTAGTGGGTAGTGAGTAGTGATTTGTGGGCAATGAGTCGCTAGTAGAGAGTAGTGAGTAGTGGATAGTGGGTAGTGGGTAATGAGTAATGGTTAGTGAGGAGTGAGAAGGGACTAGTGAATAGTGCTTAGTGAGTAGTGCGTATTGACTAGTGGGTAGTGAGTAGGGAGGAGGGAGTAGTGAGTAGTGAGTAGCGAGTAGTGGGTTGTGGGTAGTGAGTAGTGGATAGTGGGTAGTGAGTCGTGAGTAATCAGTAGGGGGTATTGAGAAATCAGTAGCGAATAGCGAGTAGTCAGTAGTGGGTAGTGAGTAATGAGTAGTGAGTACTTTTGGGGGCTGGGCTTAGTGGTTGGGGTTAGGATTAGGGGGTTGGGTTCGGGTAAGGACTACGGGTGGCGGGGGTCGGGTTCCAGAGTCAGAGGGCGGCGTGGCGAAAGGAGGGGAGGGCGGGGGGTCGGACCCCCCCCCCCTTTTGAAAGGGGGGAAGGGGGGGGGGGTCCCCGACGACGGGTCGGGGAAAGGGGGGGGGGGGTCCCCGACGACGGATCGCGGAAGGGGGGGAGGGGGGAGGGGGGTTCCTAACCCCTCCCCCCCCTTTGGGGAAATCCAGCGGCGCACCTTCCTTCTTTCCTCTCCGCGGTGCCTCTCCTCGAGCCGCGTCGCGCCTGCTCGGGGAGCGCGGTGGGGCCAGGCCAGGAGCCGCCGCGCGCCCGCGCGCCGACGCCGCGGCCTGCTGGGCGCCGCGCGCCTCCTCCGAGCGGGCAGCGCGGGCCCCGTGCCGTCTTGCAGTCGACACCCCCGCAGCGCAAGGACGGGCAGCCTGCCCGAGGGGTGCCTTTTGCAGCCTGGCCTCGCTCGGACGTGTGTAGTTTTTTCTCGGCGAGGACCCTGGAGGAACCTCCTGGACCATCGAGCGAAAACAACACACGCACGACACCGAAAGATGCACGGGAAGTGGACGTCCGAGCGACGGCAAGTGCAGCCTGGCCTCCTCTCGGTCCAGCCTTGGCCACCGTCGCTGGCCGCGCCCCGCCCGAGAGGCTGTGAAAGAGTGGGCGCCCGAGGCCCCTGCATATCCTCATATCGCGCATCCCTACCGCACGGGTTGACTTGGCACCGCCTGCGCGACCACCGGCGGAGGTGCCGCGTCGTCTCTGCGCGCGCCCGCGCGCGTCCGGGTGCCAGGCCGCCGCCCCCGGGGGCGTCTGCCCTGCCCCGTGCTCCGCTCCTCCTGGCTCGGCGGGCTCGCGCCCAGAGTGTGTGCATCCCCCCCCCTCGACTGGCGTCCCCTGCGTCCTTCAGTGTAGTCCTCGTCCGCCCTCCCGCTCTTGGTCGTCCTCGTCGTCTTGGCTCCCCCGCCCCCGCGTGTCTCATTCCCTCGTCCGTCGTGCTATGCTGCTTCTGCTCCGCCTCCTCCTTGTCCGCCTGAGCCCACTGGGAGCCCAGTGGGGCCTCTCTGGGCCTCCCATGGGGCCCACTGGTGGTTTCCCGAAAGCCCCCGAGTCAATGTGTGCGGTGCATTTTGATTTCGGGCACTTTTGGGGCCATCTTGGAATCCGTCCGAGGGCTTCTTGTGGCTCTCTTTCAAGCCTGCTCTGGGCCCACTGGGGCTCTCCAAGGGCCCCCGAGTCCAGATGCACAGTGCATATCTATCTATCTATCTATCTATCTATCTATCTATCTATCTATCTATCTATCTATCTATCTATCTATCTATCTACCTACCTACCTACCTACCTACCTACCTACCTACTATCTACCTATCTATCTATCTATCTATCTATCTATCTATCTATCTATCTATCTATCTATCTATCTATCTATCTATCTATCTATCTATCTATCTATCTATCTATCTATCTACCTACCTACCTACCTACCTACCTACCTACCTACCTACCTACCTATCTATCTATCTATCTATCTATCTATCTATCTATCTATCTATATATCTATCTATCTATCTATATGTATGTATGGTCCAGGGCTTGGGCCCCCCCCCCCACAATGCTGATGCCATTGGGCCCCCCCCCCTCGCGCGATGGTCCCCCCCGCTCCCCCTGTTGGCGTGGCGTGGTGCTGCGCTGCGGTGCCCCCCTCCCTCCCCCCTGTGGATGTGGTGTGGTGCTGCGGTGGTTCAGAGGTCGTCGTCGTTGTCGTCCTCGTCGTCCTCGTCGTCGTCGTCGTCGTCGTCGTCGTCGTCGTCGCCGTCGTCATCGTCGTCGTCGTCGTCGTCGCCGCCGCCGCCGCCTGCGTCGTCGCCGCCGCAGCCGTCGTCGTCGTCGTGGTCGTCGTCGTCGTCGTCGTTGTCGTCGTCGTCGTCGTCGTCGCTGTCGTCGTAGTCGTCGCCGTCGTCGTCGTCGTCGTCGTCGTCGTCGTCGTCGTCGTCGTCGTCGTCGTCGTCGTCGTCGTCTCTGGGACCATACCATCTGGGGGGGGGGGGCCGAGGAATCCTGGGACCATACCATCTGGGGGGGAGGGGGGGGGGCCCGTGGGCCCGGAGCCCGGGACCATATATGCATAGGCTTTGCACCTTGTGGGGGCCACTGGAGCTTGCTTGAGGGCCTCCTGGGGTCTCCACGGGGGCCTCCTCCAGGCCCCGTGGGAGCTCTCGAGGCCCCACGACCCGGGGGCCTCCTCCAGGCCTCCTCCGGGCCCCTCGAGTCAAGATGCACGGCGTTGACTCTTGGGCCCTGTGAGGACCGTGCTGGAGCCTGGCTAAAAGCGTCTTGGGGCCTTCTTGTGCCCCCCCCTTCCCCCCAGTGCGTCGTGGGAGCTTCCCGGGGACCCCCCAGTCAAGATGCACGGCTTACATTCATATTGGTCTTGGGGGGGCCATTCTGGAGGTCGCTTGAGGGCATCTTGGGGCTTTCCTGCAGAGCGTCCTCAGGGCCCCGTGGGTGGGCTCCCCGAGGCCCCCCGAGTCAAGGTGCATCTTGACTTTGGGCCCTGTGGGAACCATCGTGGAGCCCGCTTGGGAGAGTCGTGGCGCCCTCTTTGGGACATCCTCGGGGGCATCTGATGAGGAGGATTGCGAATCTCATGAAGACGAAGGAGGCGAGGAGAAGGAGGTGATAAGGAATATCTGGACGAGGACGGCGGCACAGAGCAGGATGACCTCGAAGAGGAGGCAGAGGAGAAGGATGAGGAGGATGAGGATGAGGATGAGGAGGAGGAGGAGGAGGAGGAGGAGGAGGAGGAGGAGGAGGAGGAGGAGGAGCAGAATGAGGACGAGGAGGAGGAAGAGAAGGAGGAAAAGGAGGAGGAGGAGGAGGAGGAGGATGAGGGCGGGGAGGAAATGACACATCGCACGAGGAGGTGGGCCACATTCCCACACCCGCCTTCCACCTTCAGAATTTTGAGGCCCTCCCCGGGGCTCTGCCAGGGTCACCAACCCTGGACCCTTACGTTTCGTATTGTTTTTTGTGTTTCTAACCGTCTCGTAAGTGAGAGCGAGGGTCCACCCCTTTCAACAAAGTAAGGGCCTGTTCCCTTATCACCTCCCTTTTACAAGTAAAGAGTCCACCCTCTTCCACCAGTTCAGGGTGGTCTACCCCCTTCCAAACGCTAGGGGCCCACATTGAGGTTCCAGCCGGAACAACTTAAGGGTCCACGTGTCGTCTTCGTTTGCATCGTATTTCTGATGAGCGTTGCTGCTGTTCTGATGGCGGCCAACTGCCCAAGCGCCAGCGTTACCCGTGCATTCGTTAACTAATCTCCCAGAAGGCACCGGCCTGCTCGTGGAGCGCATATGGTTCCAGTTGCCCACGGCAATGAAACGATATCCTCAACGGGCAACGCACAAGTTCCGAGGAGGGGTGCGAACCAGGCAAATGGTAGACCCGAGGGTTCTGGCGAAGCCCGCGAGTGTGGTCCCTGGCCTCCTTGAGGACTGGTCGAGGGGGTGAACATGCAAATCCTAAGCATGTGGGCTTGGTCGACGAAATCCGCGGGCCTAGAATCGGGCCGTCTTGGGCCCACTGTGGCCCGCCAGGGCCTGCCCCAGGATGTGGCGATCCCCCTGGCGAAGCAGGTCGCGGCTCGATTTTTGCCTCGCGCTGCGCGCTTCACTCGCGACCCGCAGGCAGAATGAAGTACTGTTGGGGTACTCCAGGTCTCTTAATAAGCGTAGGGGGGGGGATCGCGTGGGGTTGGTGGGAAACCGCTGTCCTTCGGGGGGGCGTGGGGAGGTTGGGAAGCGAGAGGGGGTGGGTTTGGGGCGCGTGTGGGGGCGCGCAAGGGGCGTCGGACAGGTTGGCACGGGGGGGTGCTTATTGAAGGATGTGGGGTACGTGGCGTCGGAGGTGGGAGCCAATCGTGCTTTCAGGGGTGCGCAAGCCGACACCAGTCGAACGCCATCTGGAGGTCCCGCGGATAACCCGAAAGGCTTCCGGTCGGATCACGAGGGGCTCCGAGAGAAACACGAGGGCCCCAGGGGGTCTTCGAGAGCCCTGCAGGAGGTCGAAGCCGGGCGGTCTTCCACGACACGCGCCGTGGGACCCCCGGGCGGAGCAGCCTGCCACGGGCCGCTCGGCCAGGGGCCTGTGGGGGGACCCGGCGGAGGCCCTGCAGAAGCGGGGCAGCCCAGTAACCTGCGGCAGGTTCGTGCGGCGATGGCGCGCTGGCGACGCCGGCAAGGGCGTTCGAGGTTGAGCTCGGCACGAGCGAAATGGGTACGGAAAGAATGGGTACACTGCACAACAGCAGTTCTTGTCTATTTTGAGCAGGACTCGCCGTCGGTGTCGCCGCGGCCTGTGTCCATTTGAGACAGAAGGCCGCCTGCCCAACAGTGGCCGCTGTTGGTTTGGGACAACATTTGTTGTTGGGCACTGTACCCATTCTTTCCGTACCCATTTCGGGCGTCCAAATGAGCTCCGCATGGCTCACCGAGCGCGTTCCACTACTCGCAAACGCTCGAACAAAACATGCCTGCTCTGGGTGTGATTTATCGTAGATCCTCCGCGGCGGATCCAGGCCATTTGCGAGCAGGTACTTTGCGCGAGTAGTGGAACACGCTCGCCTCATGGCAGAACAGCGCGGAAGCACTGAGGGGCACGGTAACGCCACAGGACCCGACGGGATTCGGCCTTGAGCAATCTGGGCCGCGATCGGCTGAAGGTTCAGGTTCGGCAATTGTTCTGGGAGGTCCATCGAGAAAGCCAGCCGAAATCTTCGGAAAAGCTGCAGCAGGAAACTCAGCCTCCCCCAAAACTTCAGGACAAGCTCTAGGCCAAAAGGCGGAGCGCTCGGCGCGGTGTCGAGTGCCTTCTGCGCGCGCCGACGCCGCGCGAGCCTGCCGCGCACGGGACGAGGCGCCCGGGGCCTCCTGGGCATCTCTTGGGGCACTCTGCGGCCCCCCTCTCGAGGCCCTCCCTGGGGGCCTTCCCTGGGGGCTCTCCTCCCCTCCTCCCCTCCTCCCCTCCTCCCCTCCTCCCCTCCTCTCGGAGCTGGGCGTCGGCCCCCCGCTGGCCCGGCACCTGGCCCCTGGGCGTTTCCCCTAAGCGCGTTCCGCGACTCGCAGAGTGCATGCTCGCAAGCGTCCGAACAGCACATGTTCGCTCCGAGGAGATCTAGCGTGGATCCCCCGCGGCGGATCCAGGCCACTTGCGAGTAGTAACTTTGCGAGGCGTCGAACGCGCTCGTCGAGCGTTCTTGGGGCCCTCTTTTTCGAGGCTACCGTGAGCCTCTTGGAGCCTTTCTGGGGCCCACGTGGCCCCGCTTTTGGTTGGAGCCTTCCTGGTCGCGCTCGCGCTAAGCTGCACAATCTCTGGCGCGATCGTGTTTCGATCTTCTCTGACGAAGGGTCCGAATCAGGGGTGTTTTGGGTTCGCCCCGCGAGCTTGTGCAGCGACGCACACTGTCGGCGTTCCTTTTCCTCCTCCTCCTCCGCCTCCGCCTCCTCCTCCTCCTCCTCCTCCTCCTCCTCCTCCTCCTCCTCCTAGGACACCCTTGGCGGCGCCTCTGGCGCCCATGACCCCCTCCGCGCGCCAAGGAGGAGGGGTCCGGCGCCGATCCGAGAGGCCCGCGCGGAGCTCCGACCTGCGTGCGCTCTCGTGCGGTGCTCTGCTCCTCCCCCAGGCGGCTGCTGTGGATGCAGTGCCGCCAGGTGGGGAACGAGGCTCAGGAGGGAAAAAAGCACACAGACACAATTAATCGTCGATTCCCCAGACAATATGGGAAAATCTGGGCAGTGGGGGGCAAGACAGAAACCCGGAAAATGTAGGAAACTATGGGGAATCCTTTTATTTGTGTGTATTCATTTGTGTGTCCCGGGGCCCCTTCAGAGGCGGACGAGACCCTGCAGCGCGACCTGGCGCTCGTGGCGTCGGAGGCGAGGGCCTTGGTGGGGCCAGACGTGGTCGATGCGCTCATGGAGGTCCCGGCATCGCTCGGGCGTGTGCATTTTTTCTCGGCGAGAACCATCGAGGACGATCCTGGACCATCGAGCAAAAACAACACGAACGAAACCGAAGCATGCACGGGAAATGGACGTCCGAGCGATGGCGAGAGGTCGCCATGAACCAGATGCAGTGCTGCCGGCTGACGCGGTATGCTGATCGGAAGCACCCAGTCGTTTTCATATCGAATTGCGTGACGCTGCCGAAGACGAGGGCCAAGAAGTTCGCCGACGAGGCGAAGGCGATCTTCGACGACCGGCTGGCCCCGCTGGTCGGGGACAGGGAGACCAGCGAGAGGGGCAGGGCGATCTGGACTGTCATCCTCTCCACCGCCTGGAGCGAGCAGAACAACCGCGACGACTGCGCGGCGACGTCGGAGTACGTCCGAAACACCAGGCGGCGGCGCGGCGAGGGGGGGGGACTGCGAGAGAGGGCGGGCCTCCTCAGAAGGCGGCTCGGAGTGCCTCCGAAGCCCTCTGACCTTCTGGGGAGCCCCCTGTGCCTTCGGAGGAGGCTCAAAACGCTCTGCAGGAGGCCAGAGGCCTTCTGCGCCCTCTGCTCGGCTACGAGCAAGAGTGACCCTTGGCCGGAGCTTCGGAGGAGGCTCGAGACGCTCTGCAGGAGGCCAGAGGCCTTCTGGAGCCCTCTGCTCGGCCGCGAGCAGGAGTGACCCTTGGCCGGAGCTTCGGAGGAGGCTCAGGACGCTCTGCAGAAGGCCAGAGGCCTTCTGCGCCCTCTGCTCGGCCGCGAGCAAGAGTGACCCTTGGCCGGAGCTTCGGAGGAGGCTCGAGACGCTCTGCAGGAGGCCAGGGGCCTTCTGGAGCCCTCCTGCTCGGCCGCGAGCAGGAGTGACCCTCTGCCGGAGCGACCCGGTGCGGGCCCACACGTCCTGCCACCAGGGGGGTGCCCCCAGCACGCTGGCCTGCGCGCGCCCAGATCTGGCTCGCCCGCGGCCCCCCCAAGGCCGCGCAGCAGCGGCTGCTCCCGCCTGGGGCTCTGGCGTGCGGTCCGTTCTGATCGGGGGTGGACAGAACCCCCAACAGTGACACGTCGATTAGTGAATTGTCCGCTTGCGGTTCTCGAGAGGGCGCCGTGGCCGTCATTTTCCAGGCCTGCGCCCGCCAGGTTTGGGCCTCAGGTCGTTTTCACTAAACCACGTTTTACTAAAGGGGGGTCTGTCCAGCCCCGAACCTCTTGCGTGCGTCCGATCCGAGAAGGTCCGGGCCTCCTGGAGGGAGTCGGCGTCGATGGGGTCGGAGGCTCGCGGCGCATCGCCGATGCATCGGCGGTGCGGCTCTGTGTGGGGGGCGACTTGCTCCGCTCCGACGTCGCCGACGCACCGCAGATGCCTCGCTGGTGCATCGGCGATGCGGCGCGACCCTGCGACCCAGCCTGCTCCGACCCTGTCTGGGAGGCCTCCATTTTCGGAGGCCTGGAAATTGGCACCAACGCAGGGGATTGCCTCCTCAGGGGAAAATGATCCTCGATCTCGGTGTTGGTGGTAATTCTTAGGTCACCTTGGAAGCCAGAAGATGACCCCCATCACCGAGATCGGGTTCTTCTTCCCTCGGTGGAGGCACACCGCCGATCTTGGTGCTGGTGTCAACCTCTCGGCCTGCGACATCTGTCTTTCCCCCCCGCTCGCGCCGCCGCACCGTCCTGATGCAGGAGTCCGACTACCGCGTGAGGGCCCGCGAGCGGGCAGAGGCGGCGGGGGCGACCTCGCGCCTGATGGGCTTTGAGGCGCCCCTGCTGCCGGCCCGCCTGGCGCCGCCGGCCCCGATCGGCGCCGCCGCCGGGGGGGCGAGCGAGCCAGGGCGCGGGCCCGATCGGCCAGAGACCGGAAAAGAGGCAGGGCACCTTTCAGGGGGAGAACAAACACACAGACACAATGCATCGTCGATTCCCCAGACAACAGGGGAAAATATGGGCAGTGGGGGGGAAGACAGAGACCCAGAAAATATGGGGAATCCTTTTATCAGTGTGTATTTATTTGTGTGTCCCAGGGCCCCTTCAATCTCGGGTCAGGTACATCCATCGAGGGCAGGGCATCTTGGTCGGGAGCCTTGAGACGGGGGTCAGTGCAGACGGGGGTCAGCCAGGGCGCCGGATCCTGCAGGATCCTGCGAAGACCCTCTCTGGCTGACCCGGGTTAGCGAGCCGCTCGTGGCCGCGAGGCGGCCGCGCCTATTGGTGCGAATACCTGCGTTGCAGTTTTTTTTTGTTCCTGCATTGCAGTTTTTGGTTTCCTGCTGACCCGGGTCTGGATTGACCCGGGTCAGAAGATCCCCGACTTGGGTCAGGTACATCCATCGAGGGCAACGCTCGAGGGGGATGGGCGTGGGGGGGGATGTGCATCGACCGGCACGACAGCCCCAACCTGCCCACGAAGGTGCGATTTCGCTCTCTGGGGCTGATCGCCGATCAATGGACGACGTATCACCGATTCCAGGTCGATGCGTCCCCCCCTATCGTTGCCTCTCAAGACAGGGCCTCAGATGATGTGGAAAACGATGGGGGCGCGTTTCACGACCGGCGTTTTTTTCCTCATCCCGTTTTGGGGTGCTTGCACTTAGGGTCGGAGGGCTAGAGGTTGACACCAACACCAATATCTGCGGTGTGCTTCCACCGAGGGAAGATGAGCCCGATCTCGGTGATGGTGGTACTATTCGGGTTCCCCAGGTGACCGAAAAATTACCACCAACACCAAAATACAGGATCATCTTCCTTCCGTGGAGGCAACCCCTGGTGCTGGTGTTGGTGTCAATTTCCAAGCTTCCAACAGGGTTGTGGAGGACGATCAATGGAGAGGAAGCCTGTTGCCAAATCATTTCCAGATGTCTAGACTATGTGTTGAATATGCTTTACACACATAAAACGCATGTTTGAAACATGTTCAGAGATTTTTTCCGACATTTTACACCCTTTTTTAAGTCAATGGTAGGAGTGTTAGAGTGTCCGTTGTCGTGGCATCCACAACAATAGGCGTCCCGATTCCTCTCGTAGAGAGCTGCGCCCTTGCGCTGGCCCGGCGCGGGCTGTGGCCGCGCGACGCCGCGCGCTGCCGCCGCCCGTCGCCGCCGCACCAGTCGCAGCTCGGACTGCGCGTGGCCGCCGGCCGCCGCCCGTCGCCGCCATCCGTGGCCGCACCGTTCTCGTCGCGCTTCTGAGCGTGCGAGGCTCGCACTCTGCTCTGCTGGTCTGCCTCCCCGCATTATTGCTTTGTGTATCACCCGGCGTGGCTCTGCGCTCCGCGCAGACGTGGGCTCTGCACCACAGAGCGCACGCCACGTGGATGCTGCGCAGCACGTCTTGCATCACGCGTGTGGCAACATATACCTTGCACCACAACCATTCCACCGCTTATATCGTGCACCACATATATTGCACCACATGCCTTACACCACATACGTTGCACCACGTAGCTCACACCACACATATTACACTGCATCGGTTGCACCACATAGTTTGTACCACATAGCTTACACTACACATACTGCACCACACAACTTACACCGCATAGCTCACACCACCTACACTGCACTGCGTAGAGTGCATCCTTGAAGCTACCACCTAGATTGCACCGCACATATTGTACTGCTTAGATTGCACCACATAGTGTACACCACATAGATCGCAGCACATGTATTGCAAATTGGTTAGGCGAGTTTGCGCGGCGCTAAGGCGAGGGCCACATTTGAAAACCACCACCACCAATCCGTAGAACTCTTGCGCGGCGCCAAGGCGAGAGCCACATTTTGAAAACCACCCGCCCTCCATCTGTGGAACTGTTGTGTATTTTTCCCAACCCTCCTGCGTTGGGTTCTCGTTTTGAATAGAGCACTGCTCGCGCCTTCCCGCCCCTCTCTTCCCCCTTGCCTTTTGCCTCGCTCGTCGCTGCGTGCCAGCTGGGGGGCTGCGATCTGTGAAACTGTCGCCACTTTCGAGGCCTGCTGGGGGGCCCAGCACAGTGTGCACCCGCGGCGGATTCAAATGGGACCTCGCCATCCCTGGGGGGCTGCGATCTGTGAAACTGTCGCCACTTTCGAGGCCTGCTGGGGGGCCCAGCACAGTGTGCACCCGCGGCGGATTCAAATGGGACCTCGCCATCCCTGGGGGGCTGCGATCTGTGAAACTGTCGCCACTTTCGAGGCCTGCTGGGGGGCCCAGCACAGTGTGCACCCGCGGCGGATTCAAATGGGACCTCGCCATCCCTGGGGGGCTGCGATCTGTGAAACTGTCGCCACTTTCGAGGCCTGCTGGGGGGCCCAGCACAGTGGGTACCCACGGCGGATTCAAATGGGACCTCGCCATCCCTGGGGGGCTGCGATCTGTGAAACTGTCGCCACTTTCGAGGCCTGCTGGGGGGCCCAGCACAGTGGGCACCCACGGCGGATTCAAATGGGACCTCGCCATCCCTGGGGGGCTGCGATCTGTGAAACTGTCGCCACTTTCGAGGCCTGCTGGGGGGCCCAGCACAGTGGGTACCCACGGCGGATTCAAATGGGACCTCGCCATCCCTGGGGGGCTGCGATCTGTGAAACTGTCGCCACTTTCGAGGCCTGCTGGGGGGCCCAGCACAGTGGGTACGCACGGCGGATTCAACTTAGACCTCGCCATCCCTGGGGGGCTGCGATCTGTGAAACTGTCGCCACTTTCTTACCTCGCTCGTCGCTGCGTTTCGAGGGCTGCTGGGGGCTGCGATCTGTGAAACTCTCGCCACTTTCGAGGGCTGCTGAGGGGCCCAGCACATCGGGTACTCACCGCAGACTCAAATGGGACCTCGCCATCCCTGGGGGGCTGCGATCTGTGAGACTGTCGCCACTTTCGAGGCCTGCTGGGGTGCCCAGCACAGTTGGTACTCACCGCAGACTCAAATGGGACCTCGCCATCCCTGGGGGGCTGCGATCTGTGAAACTGTCGCCACTTCGAGGGCTGCTGGGGGGCCCAGCACAGTGGGTACTCACCGCAGACTCAAATGGGACCTCGCCATCCCTGGGGGGCTGCGATCTGTGAAACTGCCGCCCTTTTTCGAGGGCTGCTGAGGGGCCCAGCACAGTGGGTACTCACCGCAGACTCAAATTAGACCTCGCCATCCTTGGGGGGCTGCGATCTGTGAAAGTGTCGCCACTTTCGAGGGCTGCTGAGGGGCCCAGCACAGTGGGTACTCACCGCAGACTCAGATTAGTCCTCGCCATCCCTGGGGGGCTGCGATCTGTGAAACTGTCGCCACTTCCGAGGGCTGCTGAAGGGCACAGCACAGTGGGCTTCCCGCACGTCTTTCTCCTGCTCTTCGTTCCCGACTCCCCATGTCCTCTTCGAGCCTGTAGTTGTCGCCCCTCGTTCTTGTATGGTTCTCCTGCGCATCATGCCATTGGCGCGTGCCCCAAGTAGCTTACATATCAAACAACGGGTCCTGCAATTTGATTGTCCGTGCAAGTTTCGGCCAACTCCTCGTTTCCCATGATACAAATGGGTTGGGTACGTCACAGGGTAATTTAGCTTCAAGGTCATACACGGTGGGGAAGTCTCAGGCGGAACGCCGGGCCCACCCTAGAAATTTGCGTCAGTGTGCGACAGGGAGAAATCATTTATAAGGGAAAGGACTGGAGAAAGAGGAGGAGGAGGCCGAGGAAGAGGCGGAGGTGAAGGAGGGGAAGGAGGAGAAGGAGAAGAGGAATAGGAGGGGGAGGAGAAGGAGAACGAGGAATAGGAGGAGGAGGACCCCCGGGGTACGATGATCTTCATTCCGAACTTCAAGCTTTTATGGATTGCTGGTATTTTGAGGAAGAGGGAATCTACAGGATAATATCCCCTTTCGATTCAGAATACCAGGACGGAGTCAGGCTATTGGAGAGGAGTTGGAGGAGGAGGAGGAGGAGGAGGAGGAGGAGGAGGAGGAGGAGGAGCAGGAGGGGAGGAGGAGGAGGTGGAGGTGGAGGTGGAGGAGGAGGAGGAGGAGGAGGAGGAGGAGGAGGGGAGGAGGAGGAGGAGGAGGAGGAGGAGGCAGAAGCATGAGAAGCAGGAGGAGCTGGAGGAGGGAGAGGGGGGGGGAGGAGAAGGAGCAGGGGAGGAGAAGGCGCTGTGCTCTCCCGCTCTCCCCGGCCGTGGCCGCCGCTCGTGGCCCCCTACTGAGTTCGGCGTCCACGGCGTCGGCGTCCCCGAGGCCCGCGCACGCCCGCGCGCGCGGGAGGGGCGCCCTCTCGGGGGGTGGGGGTGGGGGGGCGGGGATCTCAGCCCTCCCAGACTGTGTCCCAGTGCTGTCGGGCCGAGGGTACGGTCGAGGTCGGTTCTGGGAGGGTAGCTCTGCGGTCCTTGTCCCATTCTCGGCGTGTGCGGTGGAGGCCCATGCCAAGCAATACCTTGCTTGGCCCCATGGTGTTCTGGGTTTCTTGGTGCCCTGGGTTTCGTGGGTTTCGATGCTTTTGCTGTGGAAAGCGTGACGTTCCCACACCAAAAATCAATGGACGGCTCGGGGTCTCAGGGTTGGCGTCCTTGTGGAAGGTTTCGTGTGGACTGGCCTCCACTCTAGCTGGGAATGCGCCTAGACACGCTAAGTGCTCCGGACTTAGCGTGTATCCTGCGTGGCTGGCACTTAGCGTATATCGGAGGGCTGTTTCACCCGGCCCTACTTGGCGTGTACGCCCCGGCGCTGCTTCACGGCTTCGGCTTCGCAGGGCCTGCAAT